CGATTCCTAGTGGCGTTCAGCAAAGCTCGCTGGTCGGTTCTTTGCTGTTCATTATCTTCGTCAATGACATTGATGCGTGTTTGCGTACGTCGAGTGTACTCTGTTTTGCTGACGATATGAAGATATATGCTAAAATACACGATCTTAACGATGCTAAAGTCATAGGCAAAGTCAAAATAATCTTTATTCAAATAGATTTCTTAAAAGTACTTTTGAATCGTCCAACATTTTTTCCTAAGTCACTCCAATACGATTTAAACAGACTCGTAGTTTACTGTAGTCAGAATATGTTGGATCTGAATCCATCTAAATGTACAGTCATGACTTTCATTAGGAAGAAGAGAATGATTGCATATGATTACACGCTTCAACAGCTTATTTTGCAACGTGTCCATCAGTGAATATATCGAATTATGTAAAAAGCATCAATTTTTAACCCTGGAAAACCGTCGAATGATAGCTGACATTATATTTTTAATGAAAATTGTCTCTAACTCTATTCATTGCCCCGAGCTTCTTTCATTATTGACCTTTAATGTACCAGGAAGGAATCTTCGTTATTTTAGGCCTATTCATATATCCATTTCAAATAGTATAAATAATATAATATAATAATATAATATAATAGGCAAAATTACATTTTTACTCCGTGCAGGCAAATGCTTCAATGATTTGTGTAATAAGGTGGATATAGACCTATTTTGTTCAAGCTGTAACTCGACAAGACAAATTCTTGTGAATCTGTTTACTTGAGCGAAGACTTTTTTAATACGTTTTTTTTTTCTTTTATTATTTAAATATATGTATTTGTTTGATTATTATAGTGGTAACATTAGTTTGTGTCCTTATTATAGTTTGTATCTATATGTATGAGTCTATAATTGGTTCTGTTTCTTATTATTGTTTTTTTTTTTTTATTTAATTTAATGTAACTGTTGATTCACCTTTGAAAATAAAATAAATAAATATCAATGTAGCGTTTGGAAAGGGGTCTGCTAATGAACGCATCGTGTGATTTTGGTTTAAACGCTTTTGTGATGGAAACTTGAATGACTTGAAGAACGAGCCACGAGGAAGACCGCCCACACAGGTGAATAACGATGAATTAAGAAAGACGGTGGAATTAGTGGCGTGGTTTAACGTTACCTTACCCATAATATTGACTCATTTGCGTCAAATCAATAAAATAAAAAAAAAACGAAAAATGGGTGCCTTGTCTTGTTTTGTCTTTGTTGTCTTGTTGAATCGATACAGAAATGAAGGAAAAGTGGATTTTTTATGATACCCGTAAAAGAAAAATACAATGGCTGTCCCCAGGTCAAACGCCAAAACAGTGTCCTAAAGCAAAACTTACCAATAAAAAGGTAATAGTAACTGTTAGGTGGTCTCAGCATGGTGTTATTCACTATAGTTATCTCCGATCTGGTCAAGCAATAACGGCAGATGTCTATTGTGCCGAACTCCGAACAATGTTGGCAAAACTAGTAGTAAAACAGTCCCGACTTATGAATAGACCTTCACCATTTCATATTGCTCCATGACAACGCGGACTACCATTTTTTTCGTGATTTGGACAATTATCTACGTGACAAGAAATTTTCTTCCCAGGAGGCAGTACAAAATGCTTGCACACAGTTTGTGCAGTCTAGATCCTCAGAGTTCTAAGCATCGCAAAGGCATTAATGACCTTCCTATTAAATGGCAGCAATGTATAGATAATAATGGTACATATTAAAAAATAATCAATTTAAATTTCCAGTACAAATCGGCAAATTCATACTTTAACCCCTATTATTAAAACCACGAAAAAAAATTGGAAAATGCGTATTCTGAAATATTGTAACAAATCGACAATTTAACATTCTTTTTCACTTTTCCGGTTTAAGTTTTCCTAGTTTTCCCTTCCTATTGAATTATAGTGTGAGTGTTGTTAGTAGGGTTGCCAACCGTACTATATTATTTAGTATTGTACTATATTTTCAGCATCGAAAACTAATAAAATAAATCTTCATTTTACGAACGCGCCTATACGCGTACACATACTCGTTTTTTAGGTACTTATACTTAAACTTTTATTATAAATTAATGTATTTGTGATATAAAATTCTTTTACATGTGAGTTTTCAGACAAAAATACAGACCAAAAGGGTATTTTTCTGTGAGTTTCAGACAAAAATACAGACCAAAAGGGTAAATTTTTTGTAGTAGGGCTACTGCCCTTCTACAAAAAATACTGATAATAATATAATGTAAATTAATTTCATTTCTTTACCCGTCCGATTCAGTTCTGCATTCACGGCAAGAATAATTTTAACACAAATTTCGAAATAACGAAAGAGAGAAAACTGTTTGATTGTTAAAAGATGAGCTTATAATTTGATTTATTTAAAAAATATATGAGACATTTTATATTTTTTGGTATATTTTATGCACATAAGTCTATTGCGTAAAACACCTATTGTTTGACAAATGTTTAGTTCAATAAGACCCAGTTGCACAAATGTCCATTAAAATTATTATTACAGTTTACAGCGACATTGCAAATTTTCTAATTTAGAACTGTAATTAAATCTTAATAGACCTTTGTGCAACTTGGTGTTTATCTTTCTAATCTATGTTTTAAGTTTGTTTTTGTTATAAGAATTTTCTATCGTAACTAAAAGAAAAATCATAAATATACCTAAGATAAAGTATCTATTGTTTATGAAAAATTTAAGCTTATGTGAAATTTTGTTAGATGCATAGGTAAGTACAACTTAAAACGCACAAACATGAATTTTGAACGAATACTGGCCTGACTGTAATCCCAGAAAACATTTTGCTTAAGTACCTAATAAAGCAATAATGTTCTAATAATCATCTTTAGATTAGTTTTTTGATAAGAAGGATAATTAGAGTAATTACAATTTAAGCTACCAGTATATTATCAGCACATATTATAACACAAAGTCGCTCCGCCGCGTGTGTGCACTCAAAACTACCGAATGGATTTTATCAACGCAATTCGTGAAGAAAGTCATTCAATTTTTTATGTGATTGAGCTGACAAATCATTATAGACGTCTGAAGAAAATCATGCCGCCATATAAACTGCACGCGTATCAACCAGGGTACTCATAGGTATATTTTATCAACACAACATCCTGTCCCCCCCCCCCAGCACGCACATGTACCTAATTATAGTTAATAATAATAATAAAATTGCCATTTGATCCAGCTAATCTCGAAAAATAATCGAAATACTTAAGCACTTCCAGATTAATTTATTTATTTTATATGACGCGACGAAATGGTTATGTCGCTTGCAAGAGTACCTACTCACACAAAATACCTAAAGCACGTGGTGAAATCCCATTAAAAAATATTTAAATTACTAAAAGATATGAAAGTAGACGCCGTCATCAACAAACACATCGGCGACCAACGGATGATGCACGACGAACACTTCCTATTACTTATCATTTTATCAACAATCCTATGAATATTTATCTTATCTGCATTAAATTAACTGTATAATTATGATTAACAAACAATTGTTGCGTTTTTGAGAGTACCACGTGCACTATTTCATATAATATAAGTAATTAACTACTGAAATATAATTTATAACTCTTCAATTAAAATAAAATAAGAAACACCACGTACTGAAAATCGTATAACCTTAAGCTATTGATTTCAATAATTTAATCGGGTGAGTGATCAGTAGGTAGGAGGTAATATATATACTCATAGTGTATGTATTACTATTATATTATTAACTAGATTAAATATATACATAACATATAGCATGCAATATATTTTAACGGATTAATCGTGTTGTATTTTCTGAAAAATGATAAACTCATTACAATTTTTATTGAACATTATTATGTGATAATTACGTTATTATCTTCAAATCATTTCATGATTTATAATGGCTCTAATAAAAATAATAATATACGCATGAAATATAATATTTTTGTATAGGTACATACGAATAAGACTATCGTATGGAAATATATGAAAAAATTACAATACAAAAGGCAATTACATTTTCTTAAGCACTACGTAATAAATCAGAACTCAGTCTTGATCTTGTAATAGGGTTATTATAAAGGAAACAAAAAACTTCAACCCTCTCTGCTAGAGCTCTACCTAATTACAACCTACAACTACATCACATTGCACTTACTCATTGGTAACGTTCCAAGCTTCATCATCAGCCTTTATACGTTTCTACTATAATTTATAAATTTAATTTATAATCTAAGATTCCAAGAGGTCACAATTTTAAACCTTAATAAATAGAATGTAGAGCTCAAAATCTATTGTAGAATTTTGGCGTTATATGGTAACCTGACGTGCAGCCGTGTGTATACTCCTTATGTATATATGTGTGCTATAAATATATTACTGAACTTTTACGATATTCGTACCATCCCAAGACTACTAACTTATTGCACGCGTCAGTCAGATGACATCAATCATTCATACAGACTGACACGACAAGTGTGAAAATTAGACCCCAAGAGTCAATGTATTTGCATTTCAAAATTTTATAAATAGCATATGGTAGCTTGTTCTACATTGTCAATTATTTCTTGTGACTGAGTAGTATTTGGGTAATTCGGAATTAAAGATATTTTCGAATGGAAGACCTCGTGTAGATAATTATTATAAGACAAGAAAAGTATTAAATATATGTTACCACCGTTAATATCATACATTAAAGTGTGCGTCGCATCATTAAATCTCATGAAAATATGTATCAAGTTTTCCTCAAGAAAAAATAAAACAAATATGATGAGTCGATCCGGAGGCGGCGGCGGCGGCGGCGAGCGGGCAAACAGCAGCCTGTACTTGTCGCGATAACACCTGCCTTATAAAACTAGGTGTCGGTCTCGCATCGGTAAAATGCTGACACTTCGTGCGCTCAGCCACCTGCGCCTCAAATGATATTAGAAATTGTAACAAAAAAAAAACAAACATAATATCGTGACGTGAGATTGAGTGAGAGTGACGATGGCATCGGACGAAGACAGAAGGTGCGGCAGCGTCTGTGAGTGATATATTAATAACACTTCATTGCACTTTTATAATCATCATACTAGTTGTAAGGACCATGTGTACTTCTGTTTATACTGTACTTTAAATGAAAAAAACTGTCTGGAAAAACTGTGCAATTGCTTAGTATTGACTGAGCTGCATCTGGAATTCAACCATAAAGACTGAAACTGGAAACACTAATTTAAAATAATCACGCTCAACTCCAGTACCTTATATTTTTAAAAAAGTTTATCATACTGCATTTTATATGCGTTCACAAACCAAACTAAAATAAATGGAAAATATCTTCGGATCACGTTTATAAATTTAACATACACGCACCTATACTAGTATTCATGATAGAGTTTTTTTACTTGCATATTTTGGGATTCACATTAAAATACACACAAAAACTGAGCTTCGCAAAAACACGCCATCCATGCATAGGTGATATCTCGTCACGCAACTCATAAACAAGAACTGCTTGTATAACTATTGTATCGTCACCGTCACGTGACGTCATAATTAAGCAGATACCATCTCGTTCGATTGTCGGTATAGTTATATAATGTATCCTGTCAAGCACCAATACTTAAAACGTAGTACATTTTCAAGGGTAGAGTTGTAAGAAAATCATCGGCTATCACTGATTGCGATTACAAATCAGTGTTTTATATCTTAACATCTTGAGATAAGTCATTTTATGGGTGATTGATGTTATCTGAATATGTTTTGGTGAATCTGATTTATTGCGGTTATAACAGGGAGCTGGGCCACGTGCACACGACGTATTGTATCGAGAGCTGTAAAGATAATATGCGTCCATTTATAACATAATAAATAACACAACTTTACAACTTATTAATTTCATGAACCACACATACATTTATATTGCAATCAGATTGTACCTTCCTTGATGCAATCTTCAAAAAAAAAAATAAAAGGATTAACAGGCCAGACGGAGATATAGTTAAAAATAAAATTGTATACTTACATCAAAGCTGGTGGGATTAGTAAATACTTAAAAACAACGAGGATTAAATAATGGGTAGAGCATCAGATATGACAGGCGTGATAAAGGAACGCACGTTTGGCGAGTCGTACAATGAAAAGGTGACAAATGCCGGAATGCATACAACATCGATCTATTTCACGGTTTGGCTGCAAAACAATACTGACGATTTAAACCTATATGTGTATATTATAGAGATTAGGCGCCAGTATTGAATTATGTTTTATAACTGTTGTACCTAAGTAATAGGAGAAGACTATAAATAGTGACAACAAAAATTTCTTAAGTTACCTACTATCTATTGACATATTTAAAAATTGCAAATTTTTAGGAAATATCATAATATTAAGATAAGATTTCGTAGATTTATTAATTAAATTCGTTGTTTTGCAACGAAATAAAAATTACTTTTAAGTATAGTTTTATTTCATTGCATTCATAGGTGTTCCGATGAACCTCAAGATCTTGTTGACTTTATAATTTGCGATCTAAGAATTGTATTCTCACTAATGTTCTTATGTACGTCTAAAATCAACAAACTTAAATATCTAAACATTCAAGTTTCTCTTCCTCAAGCTTCTTGATCGAAAATTCCGTATGCGCCCCATAATAGCCAAATCTACAATTACGCCACTACAAAGTTCACTACGGACTCAAGTTCCTCCGCCACCGTAGCTCTAGTTTCATTTTGCTAGCAAGTCGCGCTGCCAGCTGATGTTAGTTTGTTCGATGGCTATGTATTTTTAGGATTCCGTACCCAAATGGTAAAACGGGAAGTCTATTACTAAGACTGCGCTGTCTGTCCGTTCGTCTGTCACCAGGCTGTATCTCATGAACCGTGGTAGTAAACTTGATAAAGTCATACTTAATTTTGTTTCGATTGCTAATCTTAAATTGAAAAAATCTGAAGGATTTTTAAAAATCATGAATTGAAAAAAAAAAATTTTTTTAACCCCGGTTGCCGATACGTCGGGGAAAAAAAGACGGAAATAACTCTGTTATGCTTGGAGAGAGAAAGGACTTTTGCGACTTCACGGGAGAATCGACGCTACATTAAATTATAGTAGAGAAGTAAAAAGTCCTATTTTATCAGTTGGTAAGAATCATACTGTACGACTACTGGTTCTCCATTACCACTAAAAGCCCTACATGACACAGTTACTAATATACATACGACAAAGGTATTGGATTTTAAAACTAAGGTCTACAGTTAGAGTAGTAATTAATTCCTCTCAGATTTGCTGGATAAGGAAAGCTGTTCCATTTACCCCACCTATGTATTGGACTTCTACCGCAAATAAGGTTAGTACTGTGGCGACTTATGGCAACTTAGTCTAATGGTGGAGGTGGGTGGCGCAGTGGTGGCGCAATGAAAAAACTGGTAGAACTCCTTAGTCTTGATTTATTTCTGATAAGAATTACATTTAATCACTTACAATAATTATACTACGATGCTTACCCTAAGCTGGTCTCGATCAGAAAAAAAAGACTATTCACCAGCAAAACACGAACACGCGAATTCGAATAAGAAAAAGTAATAATTTAAAATATTAACGGCCAGCAGTTGACCATAAACCGTCCGAAGAGTAAACCCTACCTATAGTAATGTGCTCGGACGTTACAGTACCTACACCAGCAAAGGCCATTTTCCTATGTGGCCTTTGATAATTTTGAACCCTTTTTGGTGTCTGTTGGACGACGTATTAAAAAGCTTTATTGTGCTCTCTACAGCTTTATTGTGCCTTACGACACGTGATAGTCATCTCCAATAGGTGCGCAGCCTGACTCGGCAGTGATGAGCCTTCACCGTTTTATAGTTAGAAAAGGAACACCAGTAGCGATATTGTCGGATAATGGAATCGCTTTCGTAGGCGCTTCTATTGCAAGAACTATATGGACCAGCTCTAAATAATTAAGCATTAACACCTATGCATCTTCTTCTTGGTACGTCTTCAGGAGAACGTCCTTTAGAAATGGAATTTTCGGACAGAGAATTTACCGATAATTTCTGGGCACGTTGGCTGAAAGAATACCTTTCTCCCCAGCTTAACTCGAGATCAAGATCTATTACACCTTAAAATCTATTAAATCTAGGAGACCTAGTTCTAATTATAGACAACAACCTTCCCCGAGGTAGCTGGCTTAAAGGCAGAGTATCCACAGTTTATCCTGGCGCGCCGTCGAGGTTCCGACTGATGATGGAATTTTACGATGAGCGACAAGAAAGCTGGTGCGGTTGCCCATTAGCTGGAACCGGGGAGGATTGTTGCTGAAGGCAACGTTATTTATAGATTTACTTTTATATGAGAGCGAAGTTGTGTTCTTTGTTTTTGAGAGCTTATGTGTATTCTAATATATTTTTGAGATTATATACCCTTACGTGTCTTTATTTACGCTTATATCTACAGTCCGCAGTGTTTAAGACTTATCTCCTAAGCGACTTATTCAAGAAAATGTTATTGATTTGGGGCGGAAGTTTTCTGTAGATTATTAATTTAATTATAGGCGCTCGACTTCAGTAGCATTTTCTTGAATAAATCGCTTTAAGATAAGTTTATTTATAATTTTTTTTTTTAAGTTTGAAGACGGTTCTATTTTTTTAAGTTTTTATCATGCTTTCACTTAAAATTCAATATCTATCTAAATAAAAAAATATTCAATATACTTACTGAAAGGAGATTTTGTTTATTCATTGAAAAAAATATGTCGAGCAAATAAACAAAATTCCTCTTTATAATAATAGGTTGGGGGAAAAGTTTCATCACATTTTATATGAAAATTCAAAACTTTTTTAATAAAGTTTATTTACATTTAATTAAAGTATGTAGGTACCATTTTGTTCAATAGCTTTTTGTCTTCTTGTTGTGATGGACTCGCGTGATGTTAACCTGATATTGCTTAAATAATTCTGAAGAGACCGAAACAGGTGGAATTCTGAAGATGCAAGGTCAGGATTATACGGCAGTTGAATTGACACCTCCTAGCCAAACTTTCTTAATTTTTGCTGAGTGGCAAAACATGTTTATGAGTTGTTCGCAGTAGAGTTCAGAATCGACGGTCATGCCTGGCAGTAACAGCTCATATCAATGCCCTTCCAATCTCACCACACACACAGTATCACCTTGTTGCGAGTTAACCCGGGATTTCCCACAGTCTGTGAAGCCTGACCGACCTTTGACCATGACTTTTTTCGCACATTCTTGTCGTACGTGATCCACTATACATCACCAGTTATCAGCTTCTTCAAAAATGATTCAGTTTCATCGCGTTATTATTTGACAGGAGATAGCACACATTTCAAATATAGTAAATTCTTTAGGAGACTCTGAGAGTCATATCAAGCCTAGTTTACTTAGCATGATAACGTTAAATAGTTTTGCTCGAGATAACGTGCGAACATTTAAAAATCATTTGTATATACTAGATTTTTATTCATTGCTTACAGAGCAAATATTACGCGAAATATAATTTTATGACACGATTACGTACTTATTACATATTATTCATTATATAAGACTAATTACTTCTAATATTTGTCAGCTTCTTACGTCCCACAACCGGTAATATGTAGGTACTTAGCAAATCAAATATTCATCATGTTTGAAAACAACTTTGGTTGATATTAAAAATAAAAATCTTAAAAAATAATATAACCCACTTCAAGCATTAAAAAAGCCATAAACAATACTTATCTCAAAAGCGACTTAATCAAGAAAATGCTATTGAAGTAGGACGGAGGTCTACTGTAGGTTTCCCGACTTCTATAGCATTTTCTTAAATAAGTCGCTTTTGAGATAAATATTATTATTACTATTTTGAAGCTTGAAGTCGCTTTTATTTTTGTTTTTTTTTTTATTTCATGCTTTTAGTGATATTGATATTCTTAATGAAAAATGCTTAAAAATCCATTTTGTACTCTGAGATGGGATTCGAACCCAAGACCTTTAGCAATTTGAGCGACTGTTCTAACCACTGAATAACCCACGACCCAACAGGACTGACGAATTTGTTACTCTTTCACTACTACAGAACGCATTCTCACCAATGTTCAGGCAATCAACCCAAACAGCCGAAAGAAATATATTTACAAAATTTTTAACTTTTGATAAAGATGAAAATTTGTTCTAATTATTTTCTATATTTATTCAATTTTGAATCTAATATTTTTATCTAACAGGTAACACTAAAAATATTAAATATATTGTACATATAAATAAAAATATTCAACACAGTGGAAGAATTTTGTAAATCAATAAACAATTGGAGGAAATATCGGTGAACATACCTACATAAAAAAACATACATATGTCCTCTTTTTGGACTTTAAGGTCGTTTAAAAATAAATTGCCGAAATAAGCACTACATTACCAGTTGTTGGGCGGGCGTGAGGTCATCTAGGGTTTAAAACATAATAATACTCAGTGTTAAGTGGTTTAGTGTAACCTACCTTAAAACTAATAACTTGTCGTCGAAATAAAACAGAAGGCGTATGAGCAATTTACATATGTAACTTAATGGCATAGCTTAATAGTGCCTGTGTGTGATCCGTGTGTGTGTGTATGTAAAAACGATTTAGGTACTTAATATTTATAGTTTACTATATGTATAAATAAAGTTATTGTCGTTATCAATCTATTACGTAAAGCAATGTTTCCCAAACATTATTCTGCTTTTCACGCTGCCCCTAACGTGACTCGCTTAATTATTAATAATATATTTAATAATAACATGTTTGGTACCGTTTATTTAGTCACAATAATTTAGTGTGAAGTATGGAGCTGCTACTTATTTCATAATAAAGAATCCGAGTTCATGGAAAATGACGAAAGTTAAATTTAATAAAAGTAAATCATTTTTAAAATTTCTGTGTAGGTGGGTAGATTTTACATACGGCTGCAATTTTAAAACAAAATATAAGCGGCCATCGATTCTAGGTACGTTATAATGTTTAGATTATCAATATTATATAGGATCATAAACTATTAATTATATATATATGTTTTTTAAACAAAGCGCAGATGTGCAACCCGGTATTTTATTTTGATGGCCTTGTACCGGGTCCCGACCTAACGAATGAGTAACACTGCCCTAAAACTTATGATCCATTACTATTGTTAGAATGTATTGTTTGGTTAGGGTTCATCCTGGTTAATTTTTTCTTGTCCCCTTCACATTCGTTTGCAAAATTGTATTAATAAGGATTTTTTCAGTTGTAGTTTTGGAAAGAAGCGGTTATGGGTTTTTTATATACCTTTATAGTTATGGGACTATTTAAAAAAAGTGAGGACAAAACTCGAATTATCTTAGATTACCTACCTACTATTGTCATTGTAGGACTGGTGAAGATTTTTATTCATCAGTTGAAAGTAAGGCACGACCGCAGCATTGCGAAATCAACATACTTTATATAAACCATATTGATGTTGCTTTAGTGATGACAATATTTATATCGTTGTAAGCTAATAAGACGTTGACTTCAAAAGACTTGAGAAAATAATAATTCTAAATAAAAATGAACCAATGCAAACCACGTTTGCGTTAATCAGATCAAAACATATTTACAAAATCACCACAATACAAAAATTCGAAGTGACAAAATTTGTCTTTTCCATGTGGTTCACAGTTAAGTGAGAAGTGCCTACTTTGTAGCCAATAATAACATCTAATAATGACCGATAACAAACGAATGTTTTAAATATATCGATTGAGTTAATTGATCCTGGAAACTATTTATTGAACTTGAATTTCAGGTCTGCTGAACTGCACCAAGTGCGTGCGGGGCGATTATGCCGCGGGCGGCAGCGGCAACAGTGATGGTACGGTGCCGCTGTGGGCGGCGACGGCGGCCGAGCTGGTGGCCACGGCGCTGCTGGTGGCCCTCAGCTGCCTCGCGCCGTGCGCCGCGCCCGACGCGTCGCCGCTCCACGCGTCTATCACATCCGGACTCATCGTCACACTTCTCGTCCAGGTGATACACTCCGAGACGGGACACTGGAATATTAATATACAGCTTTTTTATTTTTATTGTACTCTAACAATTACAATATCCCGTTCTCGAGAAAGCAACACATCATAGATCGAATGTTTCTATGCTACATTTACAGAACCGATCATAAAAAATATTCTGATCGGCTCACTATATAAAAATCTACGAGTATATAGAGTTATACCGCGTTGTAACGCAAAGTTGTATCGTGATTGCAGTGCTTCGACCACTTGTGCGGCGCCATGATGAACCCGACGGTGACGCTGGCGGCGGTGTTGCGCGGGCGCATCACGGCGCGGGTGGGGGCGGCGTACGCGGCGGCGCAGCTGCTGGGCGCGGCCGCGGCGCCCGCACTCACCGCACTCGTCGCGCCCTCCGCACTCACCGCACTCACCGCGCCGGCTCACAACCTCACTAGCACCGCTGCACTCTGCGTCACGCGCCCTGCTGACGGACTACCGCTATACAAGGTCAGCCACGGTAACCGTGAAAAGGGACAGTACCAAAATTCTAACATTCGTTATGTAGCTTGGTCACTTAAGAAAAAAAAGAAATAATAAACCCATGAGAACACATGAGAACAGTAGGTATTCTCTTTAATCGTTCACTCTCGACACAATGGTCGTGGTTTCATGATGATGTCTCTGATTTGGATAAAGCTGCCTTGCTTGGCGATGCGCCTCCACTTGTTGCGATCTACGGCGTTACGACAACATTGGACCAAGGAGGTTTTATCGAAATCATTATGATGTCAGTCCAACGAGTAGGTGATCGACCGCGCGACCGCTTGCCTTCTACTCGTCCTAGAACAATGAATGACCCGTTCCATGGAGTTTTGATTTCGAATAACGTGTCCAAAGATTTGCAATTCTTCCAAAATCGAATCATTGGTCCAAGACTCACTCCAAAGAATCCTTAGTAGCCGTCGCCAGCACCATATTTTGTTGGCATCGATTTTACGTCACTCCTCCTGGCAGATCGTGCATGTTTTCGAGCTATTGTCAATATTGGGAAGTCTAAGGTTCTCATCAGGCGAACTATCGTGGCTTTAGTGATGTTGCTCCCCAGTGTTCGTGATCGTTGAACCGTTTGACATAACATAGAACAACTACACAGTTGCCAATCTGGGTGATAGCAGGTTGAATCAGTTCAACTCGGTCATCGTCATCATTTTGGTTTTGTCCCTATTGATCGAAAGTTCGAACGAGAGGCTCATTCTCTCTAAATTTTCCAACAAGTCCTCCATATCTTCTCTTGTTCGAGCGAGAAGTTGTGTCATCAGCTTACCTTTAGTTAAAAGTCTTCCAGCCTCCCACTGATACTTCCTTAATTCATCAGATAGTGCTGTGACATATTTTTATGATTGACATATTCGATAAGAGAAAAGTAGATACTATCAAAAACCATTGCTCCTTCTACATTTCATTGTACTAAAAGAGAAACGTAAATTCCTTAACAAATATCGTATATAAGATAATAAAGATGATTACGATAAATTTTTTTTATTGAGAAAACGTGCCTAATTATTAGAACAGCAATGTCACAGTACCTATATACAAACAATGAGGACTCAATTGTAGATAATCCTAAAGTATTCTGGTCTTACATAAAAGCCCACAAAAAAGGATCGAACTTTCGGCCCTTAAATTTATCATCGGAAGATAAAGTTTGGAAATGATGTGTGCAATCTGTTCGCGTCCTACTTCCAGTCAACATTTACCTCATCTAACTCTAGTGGGCTCACTGACAGTTCTACATCACTGTTAAATAAAACTTGTGCTTCTATGTACCCTAACCAATGTAACAAAATCCAGCATATAACTCAACTGAACTGAACTGAACTAACGACTCAGAAACTGCCAGGCCCGATGGCCTACCGCCCGTCCTGATTATAAACCATGTCAAAGAATTAACAGAATCCCTCACAATACTATTTCAGCGAACCGTAACGGAGGGATTTGTCCCCACTGTATGGAAAACTGCATTTATTACCCCTATCCATAAAAGTGGTGACAAAAATATTGTTAATAATTATTAATATTTCAAAATGATGCCTGTTCTCAAAGATCCTAGAGCGTATAGTTTATACCCAAGTATACAACTCTTTATCGCGTATTGTCATTCCGGAACAACATTCACTTCTCAAAAATCGTTGATCAACAACAAATTTGTTATCTTTAACCGATTACGTAACGTGTATGGAGTCTATCGGTCAGGTTGACTCGGTTTTTACTGATTACAGCAAAAAAAGCTCTTCGCATCCATAGTAATTTATATATATGGTTTTCTTCATATATACAAAACCGAACACAAGCTGTAGCATTAAACGGGTACACTTCGAACTGGTATACGATATCCTCCAGTGTAGCTCGAGGGTCTTTGCTTGGGTCATTGTATTATAATATTTCTGTTGATCTCTCCAAATGCTATAGTACATATTTCGTTTACTTTAAAAAACTAATTACCAATTTCCAATAAATGCTCAACGGGACTGAACTTAAGAAAGTCAATGAAATCCGAGATCTAGGTGTTATTCACGTCACCAAACTGACATATGAAAAACATATTGATTGTATCATTGTTTACCAATCCTTAGGTTTTATTATCAGATCATGTGCTCAGTTTGTCAGCATAAAAATTGTTAAAAAATTCTATACCTACTATTAATACGTGCGAAGACACTTCCACACAAATTATAAAACATCTCATCGAAGAGTGCCCAAAATTTGCTAATAATCGTTTTCTGTGGGTATAATATTGTGAATGGATTCATCATTCAATTTTCGAGATAAAGAATATGGTGCAGTAGGTAGTTACTGGTACTGGTGTGTGTGTGTGTGTGTTTACTGGACAAGATACTAAATTTTAGTATTATTGATAACAATGAAAAACACGTCGTGATCTTACAGAGTCAAAGTTTATCGGCGGTTGTGTCGTGTTCTATACCACTCGAATAAATGGTAAATCTGTAGTAAATTATTTAAAAATATATATACAATATGTATAAGTTTTTATATTCACCATGGGTATACTCGGATCCATTCCAGGGGGGGGGGGGGGGGGGGGGGGTACACCCGCGTGGTCCCTAGCGAAATTTTTAGTGGGATAATAAGTATCCTATTGTCTAAGTCGGCTAATACCCTATCTGTACACCAAATTTCATCAAAATCTGTTCAATAGCTTCGGCGTGATTAACGGACTAACATCCAAACAAAGAAACTTGCACATTTATAACATTACCTATAGTGGGATAGCTAAAAAGAACTAATTTTCAAAAAAGCTGTAATTCAAAATAAGAACCGACTTCAAACTTTAAAAAGGGGAGAAATAATACTAACCTTGAATTGTTATTGTAAAGTAAATACTCGACATATTTTTTTCCGAACAATAATAAAGAAGAAAGATTTGGTCAGTTGTTTTTGAAATTGGTTTACAATTATCGAAAAAATCTACTTACATAAAAAAATATACATACCCGTTGAACATAAAAATTTGAATGAATACAAAATACGAAATAATCATTTTGATTTTTCGCTGATATAAACATGTCGTCTAAATATTTTGGTGATATTTAGTAAAAAGCAATCTTTGTTTTGTTATAGAAACAAAACTGTAATATCGTTTCGTTTTTCATAAAATTTATGTCACCTGTGTGATGCCACCGGTGGGGGAGGAGCGCAGACTTAGTGTGGCGTTGTGTGCGCAGGCGGTGTGCATAGAGGCGCTGCTGGGCGGGCTGCTCGCGCTCGCCAACTGCGCCTCGTGGGACCCGCGGAACCGGCTGCTCACGGACTCGTGGCCGCTCCGCATCGGCACCATCGTCACAGTACTCACGCTGTTGACTGTAAGCACTGTGTTTTCTTTCACACTGTTAATGAAATATTGATAAAATAGGTAATAAAATTGTGTACTAACAATTCATAGATTCAATTTAAGGTGACATAATTGCTTACTCTGAAATCGTTAGCGTCCAAAAACTTGTCTGCGATTAATCGTGTGATCGTGTACAGGGCAGGCTGACGGGCGCCAGCATCAACCCCGCCCGCAGTTTCGGACCAGCACTCTGGGCGACAGATTTCACACACCATTGGGTAAAATAACACAAACTCTCTACACTACTGTAATATAGTGACTATATAGAAGAAGAAGAAACATTTATTGATCTCACAAGGGCACAAACTAAATCAAATGTTTATTCAAAATGTGCTGTCTATTTATCTATCTACACATCTGAAATGAGACTTGTAACGGTGCGTCGTACCACACCGTTTTGTCTTAGGTTTTTTTCTTTGATCTTAAACATATATTTTTTTTTATTATTCGCTTCTTATAATTTGAAATTTTGAGTAACGCGATAAGCTCTTTCTTAATGTTAGTTCGTAGAAATTCTTCTACCAGTACATATAATAAATAACATTAGATTTTATTTAAAAAATATGTAATTAATCTGTTAAAATCAAATATGTTTAAAGTGAATATCGTATATAAATTCTATGTGTTAAATAAGCGATATAATTAGAAGAAACCTTAAAAATGTTTTTTTTATTTACACCATCTAACTTATTGAGCCCAGTCAGCCGTTACATTTACCAACCAACACCTAAGCACCGAACCCATCACAGATTATCTAGCATTAGGTTCATTTAAATAATTTTATCATTAATAATATGCTGGATGCGGGCAACACAGGACCAATAGTCTTGGAGATCTATGGGGAAGCCTATTCTCAGCAGGGGGCGTCGTACGACTGATTTTCAATGAGGAATTTAAAAAGAAAGAAAGCACTAATAAAGCACCTCGACTAGATGGCGACTCTAGCAAAAGTTGATTTTTGCAGGACACAAATGGACCAAAAATAGTCATTTAAGTTCCTTTTAACTAACATTCAAACACTGAAATTTGTAAAGTTCGAAACTTAGATATCAATACGAAAGAGTACAAATAGAATATGAGTTGTTTGTTGAGTTTTGAAAATTAATGTACTTTTTATACATGAAAGAAAACCGGAAGGGTTGTCATGGAGAAATCAAGACAGTACCGTAGCGACATCTAGTTTGTTTTTGGGAACTAATGGTTTTTTTAAATACTTCCTCATTATTTTTTAATTAGCACGCGGAGCATCACAAATTCGGGAATCTCTTTGTCTACACCGAATGTCGCATTTCTCCAGTCGAGAGATTGATGTCGTACGGACGCACCCGAGAACAAGTCACGTTTGCGTGTAGACAATATGTTCTCAAATTTGTGCAGGCTATGAAGATAACTCTCTTTCCCACATTTATGAAAAACTTCGCGGTAGACATGACAACTACACGTTCGAGTAAATAAATAACAACTTAGGCAAACCTATCGAAAGATCGCTGGGAGCGTTCGACATCTACCAATAGATTTCGAACATTTTTCGTAAACGATTCCGATTAACACAAATTAACGATATCGTATCACGTGATAGATAGTCGGAGTGTGAAGATCTTTCATATGTCAGGCCGAGAGGAATTCCGGTAGATTTTATAATATACAATTAGGTCCCTGACGATGGTCGTGTACGTGTGCAGGTGTACTGGTTGGGTCCGCTCGGCGGGTCGGCGCTGTGCTCGCTGCTGTACGCGGGGCTGTGGCACGCGCCCCCCGCCGCCGTCCCGCGCGCGCTGCCCCCGCCCCCGCCCCCGCCCTACTCCACTGAGGGGGACAAACGGCGCCCGGTGTGACCGCGCCACCCTCCGCGGAGTTCGCAACGTCAGACTTACCTACTCCATCGTCGCCACGCCATACTTACGTATAATGTCTATCGTGAGTCCAGCAATCTCGTATCCAGCGGTTCGTGGAGACGGGCCCTGCCGTGTCTGTCAACCAGGTATCGTAGTCCGGCCGTTAAGATAATATGTAAGTATTTTGACCGCAGCGCGGCGGCGACTAGGCACATCACTCGTATACCAAAGTACCCTTCCGATGTGACGGCTTCACACTTATCGAATATGTTAGTGTTGTTAAACATTGAAAACGAATTCTAACGACGATCCGATACACGTGGAATTTTACTTCCGCGCGCGATTGTCGTTGTGAGTTTTGAGTGCGCCCCCCTCATGCAAATAACTCGCGTCGTGTGACATGTGCCGTTGAATATATTTTCTTTGGTTCTCTGCTTTTCCGCCGAAAATTATTTACCCGAACGGCCCTTGCCAACTGACGTTTTGAAGAATTTTGTTTCTTCAAATAATTTTTGACGAGTTATCATATAATTTTGTTTTATTTCACAACCTCACCGTTACCGGCTGCACGTTTAGTGCGCTCTTTATAATGACACTTTTCAAAATGCAAATTCTTTAATGTAGCAAAATGTTTTTATCAGCGTAATTTTCACTAAGTTGTTTATTGTTTACCAAATATTGTATTAGTTTCGTCAATTCTGGTTTGCTCACAGTCAACCTAACGAGCTCCTCATCTCTTTGCTCGTCGTCATATCTAATGTGACCTAAACTATACATATACCTCTTGTTCCTATACTTATTACAAAATTCTCGAACAGAAATCTACATATTCAGAGGAAATAATATCAACGTATTAAAAAGGAACTGATAAATTGACTAAACGTTATTTGTCTTATAGTTATGTGGCCCAGTGAAATATTTGAACAAATTATAAATATCCAAATTCCCAAATGTTTTTTGTTATAATAACAATCAGTTTAACAATAATTCTAAATTATGAAATATTGTCGTGCATAATTTTAATCTAATCGTTATTTGTCAAAGAAGAAACAGGCGGAACGTTGGCGAAAGTTATTATCGGCCAAACAATTTTCGGCGAAAAGACAGGATCCCACTTACTTTGTTTATATTATGTATTTTTTTTTATGTATTCTAAAGTAAATAAATAGATACCGACGTTCGAACATACTTTTGTAGTAAAGGCGTTAAGAAATAAATACCTACTCTCTGTATCGGGTTCAAAGATTAAAATGTCATTCTATTTTTTCATCGACTAAAGTCGACTTTGTAAATGAGATAATTACTATTAAATAATTATTTATGTCTGAACAGAAGAATGTATTATTTTTTTGTTGACCTCTAAATATTTGAGTGATTAGACGTAGGTTTTTATGTAACATTAAGTACCCATTGTAAATTGTGAATAAATATTATGTAATAGTCATTCCCATAATTTCACTTGAAATATAATTCACTGTAAGACACGGCACGACGCCGGTCGGCGTACTTTAACCGGTTAGTGCCTGTGTGAACATTGATTCATTACAAGACAACGCGAGGTCAACGTCGACACCTACTACATTTTTTTTTTAACTTAAAAATTAAATAGTAACTTAGTATTGTATTACATAAAATAAATTGGAAATGTCATACAGAAGTTGAAAATAGATTCCAATTGATTCGCACTCCTGCATCTTAGTATAGATAGATAGGCATATATGAGGAAACGACAACAGTGATTATTACTAGAAAGTTGATAGATGAGATTACGACTGTCAGAGAGGAACGAAAAAAAAAACACACTTGGGCTGAGCCCAAATATCTACAAACTCGAAACCCTTAAAAAGCACAAAACATAATAAATTATCTGGGCTCAGGATTGATACTTTGAGAATCCCGATCACAGCTCACAGGGTCGCAACCAATTTAAAAGAGTAAGGCTTGCTCTAGACGCTATGATAATTTGGAGTCCCTAAAACAATCCATACGATTGGCAGTTAAGAATTTTCCATTTAAAGATTGCGTGCGCCTATTGATAACCGGCCTCAACGTTTAAAGGCCTGTATTGCAGCCAATGGAGACTACTTCGAACAAGCAATTATTTTTAGTGGCTTTATATTAATTTATTAAACTAACACACTGAAATATGTAGTTATACATGTTATGTGCACCTAAACAAATGTTGGTTATTCTATCTATCAATATTTATCAAAAACTGTGAATGTATTTAATAGAAATAGATTGATAATATTTATAATAGTTCTAAGTTTTTCGTTTTGTCATCTCGTCTTCATCTTCATTTTCATTAAGTAATTGTATCTGATGACCTTCATGAAAGAGGAGTTTTGAGCGAATGGCGTGCGTTGTTCCGGCATTTGGAGGCCGGCTACCTGATACTATACCTACTCACAAATGGTCGCTCAAATTTAGTAATTAATATTAGCAATTATTTTTTTTCAAACAAAGTGTGTGCAATAATAATTTATAAGTAATAAATAAAAGAATAAATGGGTTGTAAGCTACGGCCTGTTGTACGTACTTAATTTGTAATAAACCATTTTAAAATGTAAGATTGTATGATTTAAATTTTATACCAGATGCATTCTCCTTTTAGTGTTCCCTTTGAGTAATGATCCTGTAAAAGAATTCCAAATCTTATTAGGTACTTTCGTCACAAGTATTTGTTTTAAGTGACTCAAACACGTCAATCCAATAACTTATCACACCTTGCTCCAAAAGTTGCATTGAAAGTTATAAAAATAAATAATTTAACCATTGGTTGATCAAGTACTTCTTTACCTTAAATAATAACTGATCTAATCGTTTGATTTGATTTATCTTTATATTATATAATAGATATTTTTATTGTTTTGATAAAGATCGGTAGTGTATGAAAAACTATTTTAAATGGTAATAAATTTATATTTAATTGTGGCTCCTCAATCCATACGGGCATAGTTTTTAAACAGAATTTTATAGCTGACCTCTACATATTAATGCTTTTAATGTTTATATTTTTTACAGTTTTCTTTTTTAGCAATAGCTCTCTGTTGTTAAGAAATAGCTCGAAGATCAGACCCCAGCTTCGAGGGAAAGGTACACTCTAGGTAGGGCATAAATTAACCAGCTATTAATATAAAATTATAAGTTTGTCTAATTAGCGAGCTGTTTTCCTGCAACTTCGCCCACGCAATATATAACCTATGTCACCCGTATGTGGTGTAGCTTCTCATAGGTGAAGGAATTTTTAAAATCAGTCGAGTAATTAAGGAGCTTATACAATGCCATCAAACAAACAAACAATCAAATCTTTATAGTATTAGTATTGTTAGGACTGGAGATTCCCTAACATGTGCACGCCAGAAATGTCACTACAACTTCGGTAACTTTTTCTATAAAATTAAGAAAGTAAATAAAGATACAAACAATTGGCAAACTTGTTACCGATTTTTATAGGCAGATTATAAACATTAAGTTAACGGAGCAGATCCACGCTCCATAAGTACATAGTCTGTCTCACAAATTTGGGTTACAGGGGGGGTACACTTTCAAAACACGCTAAAACGTTTATAGATTAAAATCGCTCCAGCGGTTTCGGAGCCTGTTCGTTGCAAACTAATAGAAACCAATCTAATAACCTCTTTATAATATTAGTATAGATTATGATAACAAAGTACCTTTTAAATGGTACAGTAACTTTATGCATTTTTTTACCAACCAGTTTACTCCAAAACTCACAATCGCATTCTAAGCTAATAATAATATATTATTATGAAATATTTCAGCGGTTTTATATTTTACAAAAAATGTTTTAGCTATTAGTTTTGAAAGTAGACCAACTTTTATTGAACAACAAGAATAATTATTATTTGTTGCTATAATTAGTGGCGGTTTAAAGTTTAATCATTTTATGGCGCACTATTTTATAACGACATAACCATTCTTTTTCCAGTATATGTTTGTGTTTGGTTCATACAATTGTTCGGAAAACCAAGGTTTTGTTACATAATTTTCTAAAATCGATTGAACTTACCTGTGTACCTCGTGTGTTCATAAGTTTTGAGACGAAATAAAAATTCGTAACTTTTTCAATAATTAACTTATATTTCTAAAATTTTCAGTAACCATTAAATAATAATCAACAATAAAATACATATTTTATTCAAAATGCGGCCATTTTGAAATATTATGCAACCTTTGTTTTTAATACAGGCCCTAAGACGATTTGGGCAGTTATCATGACTCCTCAGCAGCAATGGACAACGTTCGCGTCGTAACTTACGAAGACGATCATTTAATAAGTGAACTTTTCTACGGCCATAGGCCTTCTGTTCACTGAAACGCGGGAAATATTAATCTGCAGAGCGAGTTTCTTTTGAGTGAGTCATGGATTTCGGCGAAGTCGCTCTCGGATGATTTTGATGTTCACAAGCGTCAAAGGCGCCACTCCTTTGGCGATCTTGCAGAGAACTTGTCTCTTTGTACCGCTGTATTGTATGTAATATACGAAGTTACGGCTTACAGGAAAACTTTTCAGCTCGCGGAAAATCTGCATCGGTTTTTTAAATTGTATATTATTGTCATATAAGTCGGGTTTAATTTATAAACATATTAATTAAAACATCTGGTTTAAATTCTCGCCCAACTGCCGCAAAGGCTCTTTTAGAAAAATACGTGCCTAAGGTAGACAGCCAATTTAAATTTAAATATATTAGTTTCTTAGATATTATTAAAACTTTTAAATGTCTGAAAATAAAAAAAACACATGCGATTTATGGGGCTCTTTATATTATTTAAAGTATAGTTCATAATATAGCCCCTTACTTGGCTGATATATTTAACCGTTGTATAGATGAAGGAATTTTTCCAAATCTATGAAGCTTAGCAAAGTTGTTCCTCTTTTTAAATCCGGTAATAAGGAATACCATAGTAATTATAGACCTATATCAATACTACCGACGTTAAATAAAATCTTTGAAAAAATAATGCTTGAACAATTA